AAATGATAGAGTCTCGATAACGCTGGAGGTATCCTACCCTATAGAGGGTGAGAAAACGGGTACACCTACCATACCATGCCTGCCTGCCTCGTACTCGTACCCACGCTCCCTCAAATACATACCGGTATCAAGGGCTCCAAAAACAAGGGAAAAAGAAAAGAAAGAAAACACAGAAGGAGCTGTTCCAACTGCACGCACACACACATCCAAATACGCTCACTCACACTACCAGTTATTTCATTCACTCACTCACAACTGCCCGTGCCCACCACGTCTCCGCGTCTATCATACTACTCGAGTAGAGTGGACAACAGATCCCCACCCCACCCCCGCCCGCTTCTCGCTGTTACTTGCCTGCTTCTCTCCTCTCCCTGAGTCCCAAGTCAGACTGTTCCCCAATTTTTTCTCTTGCCACCAGGAAAACTTATTCACACATCTCGAATCCCGATACAACTAAACTCTACCCTTCCCGCCCTTCGCTTGTCCTTGACTGATCTCAAAGGACTCCCCTCTCCCCCCTCCCCGCCGAAATAATCCCCCCCCCCGAATTTACTTAAATCCTTTTCGATTTTGATTTTATTCAACTCTTATCGGTATTCTTGCCTTATTTTATTTCATTTTTCTTAAAAAAAAAATAACTGTGGCCCGCGAGACACACATCCCTCTGTGGCCCACCCGCCCCAGTAGTAACAGACCAAAGGAAGCAACCCTTCAACCCAACCCCCTTCCCCTTCCAACGTTCAAATTGAGGCTCGCTCCTTGCTGCTTTGCACCACCCTAAGCCTCGCTCCCCGATCTCCACACTACACTGCCATTCCCTGTGTGTTAGGTTTCTCTCTATCGTCAGCCTTCACCTTAAGGGTGTGACGAGTGCTCGCTCCGCTCGCACTTCCCACACACACCTCTTCCCCTTCCTTTCCCATCTCCGATCTCTAAGGATCGAGGGTTTGACCTTAATCATGATGGAACTGGATGGAAACGAGTACGATCGCTATCTGGCCGCAACTAATGCTTTCCCAAGCCTGCCCACCGGGAGGAATGCAAGTGCCCGAGGAATCAACGGTCACGGCCCACATGGTCATAGCGCTGTTGACAGACCTGGAGTGGGTGGTCGACGGGCGTCAACGCCTGGTATGGTTGGCGCCGTGGGAATGGATGAGATTGTAGCTGAGAATGCACGCGAGTTAAGGCGGAGGTCCCTGGCTAATGGCTTTAATCTGGACTTTATCGAGGTTGACGACTCGGAAGCCGATACCTTTTCGCAGATGGTGAGTCCCGGAGCCTTCAGTGCCGGTGACATGAGCCAGATGGGTAACGAAATGGGTCGGTTGCCGACTACAATTGAATCCTTTTCCGAAATGGATGCTTCTGCCCCCGAACTGAGCGCCGTGCGAATGATGGGAGTGGGAAATATTTCGGGTCCAGAAATTCAATCCTCAATCTCGATGTATGCTGATCCACAAGTGCTATCGGGAACATCCCACTCGAGTCCCGTGACCAATTCCATGGCAGTCTCAGTGCCCCAAAGTCCAGTAGGCCCCCAAATTCCTGGCTCTCCTTTAGGTCCCGGTTCTCATGGACACCGAATGTCGGTCGACTCCATAACATCCTCTCCCATGGCCCAGATGCACATGGCCCAGATGTCAAATCAGGGGATGGATCAATCTCTTATGGACCCGATGGGAGGTGGGTCTTTATATACTTGCTTAGCCTCGGTCACCATTCGTATAAACTCTAACATTTTCGATCGTCAGGGATGACACCTTCGTCACAATACTTCCCGATGGACGTCCATAAACACTTCACAGAAACGACCTAACTCTTCTTCGGGCGCCTAGCTGTTGGGAATCTTGGTTAGCTTGAACTTATTCATGTCTTGTTTCATGAGACAGCTTCATCTTGTTTTTGATGGAGCCTCCCCCCGGGCCTTACGTTGTTGCTAATACAAGTACCATCATAAATACAGTATAGGGTAGCAAATAGGCCTAATCCACAAATCAACATCGGAGCCGTAGACCTGTCTTGCTCCTTCGTCGTAACAGATGCACGGAAATTCGACAACCCAATCGTGTACTGTAGTGCCACATTCGAACGTTTGACTGGCTACACAAAACATGAGATTCTGGGTCGAAATTGTCGATTCCTCCAAGCCCCCGATGCCAAGATTGTCCCGGGCGTGAAAAGGAAGTACGTCGATGACGATGCCGTTTACTACCTCAAGAACCAGATACAGGCAAAAAAAGAGGCACAAACATCGCTCATCAACTACCGCAAAGGAGGACAGCCATTTACTAATCTCTTGACCATGATCCCCATCACGTGGGACAGTCCGGAGGTTGTATATTTTGTTGGCTTCCAGGTAGACTTGGTTGAGCAGCCTGGGGCAATGGTTAACCGAAACAAAGGTACAAAGCCAGTACCCCCCAATCAATGGATTTGGCGATTTACGGAGCTGACTGAGTAGGATCAGACGGATCGTTCGCGATCAACTACCAATACAGCCAATTACCAACCTACGTTCCAGCCGCCGCCGCGGCATTGGTTATGGATTCAGCGAGGTCAGGGCTGACGGTTGCCAGGGATGATGTGTCCCATGTATTGAGTTCATTCGGGAGTGGGGATTCTGAGTTCCACTCTAAGAGGATACTCGACAAAGTTCTTCTGGAGAATACCGACGATGTGGTACATGTTCTATCGCTGAAGGGCCTTTTCTTGTACTGTTCCCCAAGCATTCGAAAAGTTTTGGAGTACGAACCCTAGGAGCTTGTCGGAACTAGCCTCTCTGCGGTCTGTCACCCCAGCGACATTGTACCTGTGACAAGAGACTTGAAGGATACATCCTCGAGTACTTCGGTCAACGTCGTGTTCCGAATCCGACGAAAATTCAGCGGGTATACGTGGTTTGAAAGTCACGGTAGCCTACACACAGAGCAGGGGAAGGGCAGAAAATGCATCATCTTGGTTGGAAGGGAGCGACCAGTCTACAGGCTCGGTTGGAAGGAGGTTCAGGTCACAGGAGGAATTGGAGATAATGAACTCTGGACAAAAATGTCAACAAGCGGGATGTTCCTTTTCGTCTCGTCCAATGCCAAGACATTACTTGACCGGGATGGCGAGGAGTTGACCGGCACAAGCGTTCAAGCACTCATGAGACCTGATTCGAAGAATGAACTCGGAAGGGCACTGGAGAATGCAAGGAATGGGACAAAGGCGACCGTTAAGCACGAGATTCAGAATAAGCGAGGCCAATTTTTGCAGGCTCTCACGACGTTGTTTCCAGGTGATGGCACGGAAAGCCAGAAGCCTACTTTCCTCGTTGCGCAGACGCGGTTACTAAAACACACCCGAGCTTCGGCAGGCAGCCCGACAAAGAACCACCAATCCGACACGCTGAGTTCTGCAGCGTCCACACCTTCATGGAGCAACAACTCGCCCAATCAAGCTGTACATATGACCAATGGGGCTGATAAAACACCACCTGATTCCCGAGAAAATAGTGCAGAAAGTACGGCAGACGAGAACCTTTTTGAGGAACTCAAAACGACCCGATCAACCAGTTGGCAGTTTGAGCTTAGACAGCTGCAAAGGACAAATAAGAGACTGGTAGAAGAATTGAGTAGCCTCGTGGCCTTACGCAAGAAGAGAAAGAGAAGAAAGGGAGTGGACCAACTCGAGAAGGATTGCGCCAACTGTCACACCCGAGTTACTCCGGAATGGAGGAGAGGGCCGAGTGGAAAGAGAGATCTGTGCAACAGCTGTGGACTGCGGTACGCCAAGTTGGTAAGCTTTCTCCCATAAAAGGCAACCTCACACAGTCCCGCGGGCCGCGTTTGGCTCTATTGGGTCGATGGCGATGTGCTAATTGCGGGGAAATCAGATTGGACGAGTATCCCCACGAACAGCAACCTCAAATTCAGACAAGGGCAACAGGAGCCCAACACAATCCCAGTCATCGCCAATCACCACCCACTCTCTGGGAGACTCTCCTCATTTGTCCTCAGCGAAGACGGCAGGAATGACGCCGATACCGATATCACCCGTGCATCAGCAACTGAGGCGAGGAAGCATGAGCGGGAACATGCCGACGCTCCAGCCACATCCTACCTCCGCACCTCACATCAACGGGAATGGGGAAATAGAGATGAAGGTCAACGGGTCATGACAACCCTCCGCGTGGAATGGGCGACTTGTTTTCCTTTCTCTTGCTTACTTGCCCCCCCCCCTACACTTGACCTCTTCTTAACCATCCCTCTTGTCACTACTTGTGTTTATATTCAATTACAACCGCCCCTCCCCCAATTTCATCTGCTTGTTTTGACATTTTCTTGTCCGTGATTGTACTTTACTCCAATTGTCGAGAGTTGGTAATGGGGTTTTGCATGAAAATTCACTGTTTGCTTTGTTTCCTCCCCAGTTTCTGCTTCTCATCGTTTTTGTTTTCGATTATTTCCTGTTTCCTCTGTCTTATTCATTTTCTCCCCTAATGCATTACGGACCTCTATTTTTGTATCCATTTAAACGATCGCTGCATGGGGTTGGGGTTTTTCCTTTCGGGGTCCTTTTTTTTTTTTTTTTAGGACGGTTGCTCGTTTTTTCGTCCGCTAGCTTGGCCTTCCCGCCAGGAGATTTTTGGAATATCATACTTTTATATATCATAGCATTCGCTTTTTTGCCCTCGCGGCACCTTACCTTTTTCCCGTCCTCCCTCCCTTTTTCTTTTTCCACGGTCGTTTTGGTAGAAAGGCTGGGTTTGGTGGATCGATGGGCTATCCTCTGTAGTCTGTCTCGTCTCATTTTATCTTGGTTATGATACCTTTTTCTAATTCCTAGCACTGTGCTGTGTTTGCGGTTAGGGAGTGAGATTGATGCGAAGTGAAGTGAGGTGAAGTCAACTGACAAGGCCAGAGGGAGACAGCGTTGTAGCCCAAGTGAGTAGTACAGTACAAGTAGTGCTGGGGGTCATATGAGTTGATGCCGGCATGCACGATATGTACCAGTACAATACCGGTACGCGGAATACCGGTACTGTACCAATACTCCAAGCTACTACGCACCCAACACTCCAAACGTGAGGTGCGGGGAAAGAGCAGAAATTCAGCACAAAAAACACCATCTACCGTACTTACCTGCCTGCAAGCACCAGCATCACAATACCATTCATCATACTATAACCACCCCTCCCCAGTCGTGTACTATCACTAGGATAGCACAACTACAATAACATATCATATCAACAAGGGAATAAAATCCTATGGTATGATACCTACGCGCTGTTGAGTTCAAAAATATATACCCTTATATATTCCAGAGAGGGGTAATTCCTGTACCACCCATTTGATTTAGCGCATGAAGTTTTTTTCTTTTCCTTTTCCTCCTTCGTTAGTTAGGGGGGGGGGGGGTGGATGGACGGATGTTGTCTAGGATGCTAAGAGTGGAAGGGTAGAATTGCCGGTGACAAGCAAGCAACGATATCACAGAATTAGGCTGCCTTTGATGACGGGTCAGTATTCACATTTTTCGGCATTCGAGGAGAGCGGAGGAGGGGGGAGGAAAGAAGAAGTGGAAAGGGAAGTGAAAGGGGAAAAGGAAGATTACCAGGTTAAGTTTTTTATTATAATAATATCTTTGTGGTAGTGGTGGTGGGGAGAGAGAGTGGAAGAGGGAAGAGAAAAAGGATGGGTTACATACTACTCGTACTTATTTCCCGTTACGCGGCTGTCGTCATAATAGGATGGGTAAAAAAGGGGGGGGGGGAATTGATGACGATGATGAGGAGGAGAGGTAATTTAGGTTGTTGTTGAATTGTTTTTTATTATTATTATTATTTTATTTGTAGGGTATCATAGTCCATCTATCTACCTGCCTTGCCGAAGCATGTATACTAACGTCATTACTCGCAGTTTGGGTCTTTTTTGGTTTGACGTTTGTGAATAGGACCGCTATTGCATAACAGTCAATAAAAGTAACCACCAAATTCTGGGGAAATTTTTTTTTTTTTCCAGCCCGAATCTGATGTTGGGAGTGGAAAGAAGGAAAAAAGATTATGCAATGACGGTTTTTGTGTTTACACACAGAACAAAAACGTCACCCCGCATCACGAGTGAAATTATTGAAGTGAGCACACACTTCTAACCTTTTACCCTCTAAGTGCGCGATACAACCTCACAGCCCATCACAAAAACTCACTCGACAATTCCGGTAAATTTTGTAATTTACTGAAAAAAATAAAAAAAATAAAAATAGGGATTGACAAATCGTTTACCGTACCGTTACCGGAAAATCAACTCCGTTATCGCGCAATCAACGCAGGGAAACACCCCCCCCCAAAAAAAAAAAAAAAGAAAGAAAGAGAGAAAGAAAAGCGGCTACCCCCGTTTTCTCGTCTCCAATCCCGTAAACCAGTCCAAGTACGAGTACTTTGTACTCGAATAGATAACGAGGAGATTACACATGTTTCGCATTTGACTCGCTTGTAAGCGAGACAGGGGAAAGGGGGGGATTGTTAGGCTAGGCTAGGCTGGGCTAGGCTTTTTCTTTTTTATCATAACTTTTCTTCCTTCCAGAAACGAAGGAAGACCCCGAAGAACGCGCTGTTGAGGCTTGAATTGAACTTGGCCGGTTTGGTCGGTCGGTTGGTCATCTCTCTCTTTTCTTTTCTTTTCTCCCTTTCTTTCTCACTTTGACATAAAACCCTTTTTCCGGCTTGCTATTTTACTGGTTGCCCGTAATATCTGCCCGAGGGAAGATCTCTTTTTTTCTTCTTCCCCTTTCTGTCCAGATCTAGAATTTCTTTCGCACTCAATTGATCAAAAGAGGGAGGAGAAAGAAGAAGAAGAAGAGCGATGGAAACGATATCCATCACTGTCTGCGGTGACGGCGGGACTGGTAACCATTTTCCCCCACCTCTTTCACTCACTCGCTCACATATCGCGATCGAACAACCCATATCATTACTGACGAACGAATAATGATGATATAGGTAAATCCTCCATCTCCCTCCGCCTGGTCCGCAGTAAATGGACGCACGAGTACGACCCGACGGTGCAAGATTCCTACAGCGTGACCCGCACCGTCGACGGCCGCGAGTACTCCCTACACCTCACCGACACCGCCGGGCAGGAGGAGTACCGTGGCCTCTGGGCCTCGCACAACCTCGCGGCCGACGCTTATCTGCTCGTTTACGACATCACCAATCACGATAGCTTGTTGGCGCTGGATTACTTCCACAACTTGGTCGAGATGGAGGAGGAGGGGCGGAGCGTTCCCGTCGTCAAGATCGTCGCGGGGAATAAGTGCGATCTGGCGGAGGGCAGGCAGGTCTCCAGTCAGGAGGGACTGGCCTGGGCGCGGGGTCATGAGTGTGGGTTTATGGAGACGAGCGCTAGGAATATGGTTAATATTGAGGAGACGTTTGCTCGTATGTTTGGTTGCTTCGGGGGGGGAAGTGATGGCGATGATGACTAACGGGTGGATTATAGTGCTCGTACGCCGTGTCGTCGCCGCGAGAGAGGCTGTTGCCAATGGCACGTTGGTCCCCGCTTCCTACCGCAAGTTCTCTTCCGCTACTGCTGGTCCTGCTGCTTCTGCTTCCGGTCCTGTTGCTCGAGACAGTGAGAAACAGCAAGAAGTTCCGCACTTGACTTACGATAATCGTCCACCGCCAAGTAAGTGGGGGAACTGTTGCACCATTTGTTGATCCTTTTTCTTTTTTACATAATAACCTTTTATTATATCCCTACTCCTGGCTTTTCATGTTACCGGTACAATGTTACCCTTAACTGCCCGACAAAAGGGGGATCTGTATGATGAACGGTGGAGGTATTTCCCGTTTCACGAAGGTCTACGATAAAACCGCTTGTGCATATCCTTTATTTTTTTTTATGGGGCTTTCTTGTAGATAGGGGAAGGGGTAGGTAAAATTGGCGGAGTTTTTTTTTTTCTCCTGTGGGAAAAAACGAAATAGGTTGCAATTGATATGATACCCATATTTGCTTTTGCTTTTTGTTTTTTTTCTCTCTTGAGTTTGCTTTTACATCCAGATGGTTCAAGAGGGATTTGGGTTTTTTTTCCCTTTTCCTTTTTCTTTTATTCAACGTGGATATAGGGAAATTCTCTGGCTGGGTGATGTATAACTTGTACTCGTATTGCATAATACCGTAATGCTGAATTTCTAATTTCTTCTCCCCTCTAATGCTTTATTTATATTCTACTTGTAAAAAGTATAGGTCTCGATACAACGTGTATTAGTGGTCGATCTTGAGTGAAAAATCCACGTGCTGGGTGCTCTGCGGGTATCAACTTTGTTAGCCAATCATCGGAATGACAACATGCGATATACAAACCTGATGGATCGAGCTGGTGGAAATAATATCGATATCTGACATTCCCATTAGCATCCACCACCTTCCCCAGGTTTTCCAACCAAGGATCAAACAAAAAACAAACCATTGCACAAATACCCCTCAACATTATCCTCCGTCAGCCCTCCCGAGCACTCGAGTAGAACTTGGCGTCCTTTCTCCGCCCACCTCTTTTTCAAGTTCGCCGCAGAGGCCTTCAATCCGTCTCCTGTGAAATTATCCAACATGACAATGTCCGCGCCCGCAGCAATTGCCTCATCTGCCTCCTCCTCACTTTGCACTTCTACCTCTACCTTAACTACAAAGCCCCCTACGGATTTCGCCGCAAGGACGGCTTTTGTGATCGACCCCTTTGACCAAATGTGGTTATCCTTCAGCATGATCATGCTGCTAAGGTCGTATCTATGTTGATCTACACCCCCGACCAACATTCCATATTTCTCCACAAGCCGGAACCCTGGGGTCGTCTTTCTTGTACCCGCCAAAATTCCCGAGTACCCAGCTTTCCGCACGAGCTCTAGTAACCGACGGGATTTAGTAGCAATTCCGGAGCACCGTGCCAGCGTATTTAGTGCCACGCGCTCGCCAAGGAGTAGGTTTCGAGAGGGACCCTTTACGGTGGCTATCGCGATCGGTTTGGCAGCGGGGAGGAAGGTGCCTTCTTGGGCGTGCCATTCTACGCTGAGTTTTCAGGTATGGTTAGATCTCTATCTGGCAGGTGGGGGAAATTGGCAAGGGAAAGGAAGGGGGAGGACTACCTGCACCCTAACTGGGTAAAGACTTCATCAAAGAATGGAACCCCCGCGAGCACCCCCGGAGATTTAGCGTAGAGAGTTGCGGTCTTGGGATCTTCACCGACCACAAAGCCGCCGTAGTCGAAGGTTGGAGTGTCTTCTGTTAGCCAGGAGGCGATTATTTGTTTGTAAGTGTTTGGAAGGAGGTGTGCTGTGTTTCCGTGCTCGAGAGGGGCCATTCCGGGTAGTTCAATCGGTGGAGAGAATTAAAATTTTTGGAGTAAATTGGGAGGAATAGATTGATTTCCTGGATTTTTTTTATGAATAGAGAAAGCGGATAGTGGTGATGTGGACTAAAGGGGGGGAGGGGAAAAAGCCTTTAAAGCATCTTCGACAAAATTCTTGAAACGGTCGTCTTCGCCACGTGCCCCGCCATCGCCGCGTCCAACCGAGCATCCTTGAAGAACCAAAAGGTCACCGACTAGGGTAGTCGACTAAACTTAAACCTCCAGCTTCACTAGAGCTGAGCAGCCCAAAACAACGCCTTCTCCTCAAGAGCTCCTCCGATGAGTGCACCAAAGTATCAGCCGTACGCCCCTTCACCATACTCCTACACCCCCTCACCACATTCCTTGTCAACAAGCATATCTCTGGATGAAGAGGTCAAGCTTTCAACAACGGTACAACAACGAGAGCTGAACGAGTCGCTCGCGGAGATCTATAGTATTATCGTTACACTGGACTTTCTGGAAAAGGCTTATATCAAAGATAGTATCAGCCAGGAGACGTTTGCTACCCCCTATCTCTCGGGGATACCCAAGCTGTGTGTGGCAAGGCACTGATGACGATGCTTCGGTACGATAGTTATACCCCCACATGTCTCAGACTTCTCGGACAATACAAGACGATCCTCAAGAACCCAGACGTAGCCTCTGCGTTTAAAGATCTGGAGACGTTTAAATCTGCCTACCATGTTTTTCTCCCTCCCTCCCTACCATACCCCACTCCTTCTAACTATCATAGCTATCATACCCCTCCGCAACCGAACGTCTAAAAATTGGCGTCCCAGCAACATTCGAGCATGCCCCCACAACCTCATCAGCAATCTCTGCTCGTGCAGCAGCGGAGGCTACCCAGAACTTTATCACATTCATGGACGCGCTTCGTCTGCACTACACTGCGAAGGACCAATTGCACCCGTTGCTCAGCGACGTAATCACCTCTGTGAATAATGTTGCTGGGGCAAAGGAGTTTGAAGGGAGGCAGTCGATTGTGCAGTGGCTGATTATATTAAATCAGATGGGGGCTGGTGATGAGATCACTGAGGCGCAAGGGAGGCAGGTATCTTATTATCCTTCGGGGGGCCCGAAAGAGTTTTGGTTCGCTGACTGAGGGTAGATGTTATTCGATATTGAAAATGCCTATAATGAGTTTTACAAGAATTTGCAGTAGATCAGTGGAGCGGACGGAAGGGTGGAATCTGGTCTGGTGGAGGGGAGTTGTAAAGTGCTTTGTCTTGATTTGTATTGTTTTGCTCAGTTGGGGATTCCCGTAATGTAATGTAATTTAGTTGGTTGTTGTGAGTCCTTCCGGGTTTGCCCGATTTCGGGCAAGTGTCAGCTCCCCCTGTAGCCACAACCGGGCTGTTGGCTCGAGTGATGTGGTGAATTCTGCCGTCGAGGAGTTCTGGATTGTCTGCATAAAATTGCCTGTTTTGATCAATGCCCGACTCTTTGGCTTTTAGTCTAGACTCTGGAGGGTGGGAGGGTGGAGAACCGTGGCCGATTTTTGGTATTCCTAGAATGCTTTATGCTGGTTGATAGATGTTTAGTTGCTCGCTCTGGCCATCACTCATATCATGGGAACGCTACGAGGTGGAAGTGTCAAGAAAGAGATAAAGGACAAGATACTAGGACAAATACTTATTATAATCACCAAAAGCTACCTGCTTTCTGGAAATTTTCCTGCCTGGAATCCACCTAGTAGCAGAAGAAGTACCCTTTTCAAAGTTAACTAAATTTAGCAGATACTTAACTACCTATCCTCCATCATTGTTGTATGGTATTTGCACAATACTAGTAGGAGGTGCTAAGAGATTAGAATGTAATAATCTGTTTATAAAACTTGAAAATGATTACCAAAAATTCATAACAGAGAAGATTTATAAATATACAGTTACTCGGCAGAAGTGTTTGTGATCTGAGACAATGTTTAATTGCGGTTGTGCCATATAGTGGGGTAGTACCGGTGGGGTTGTCAATGGGTATACGCTTGCGCGAGTTCAAGTTCAAGATCAACAACCACTGGCACCTCTCAACATTCAACGGTCAATTGACCTGCCATAAATTAAACTAGCTAATATTTTGTATAACCTCCCCTTACTTCTAAAACTGCAGCCATCCTATCAGGCATTGATTTCCACAACTTCTCAAAAAACTCCTCAGGAATTGTCTCCTAAACCAATGGTAATACATGTGCAAGTCTTCTCCTAACAGCCTCTTTTCCTCCTGGAGTATTTGCAATCCTTGGATACTGCTAGTGCAATTGCTTTTTAAGCTCAACCCATACATGCTCAATAGGATTTAAATCAGGGGAATAAGAAGGGTGGTCTACAACCTCAATACTGTTTCTCTCCAACCAATCCATAACACTATATGCCTTGTGAACAGGAGTATTATCTTGCTGAAAAAGAATATCTTCAAGTTGTATACCAAAGGAAATCATTTAATGAATAACAGGAAAAATATATTTTCTCAAAAGTCTAACATACTTGGTCTTATTGATAGTTTGAGTAATAGGAACTAATAGACCTTTTCTTTTACCCCAAAAGTACCCCCAAACCATAAGCAAGATTTCCTTATCCTTCTCCTTTGGGTGTACACAATCAGCCAACTACTTCTTTGCAGGTTCTCTGAATACCCATTGCTGCTTTGGATCCTTAAATTTCTCCACACTGCACTCATTACTCCAAATCACCCTTTCAAAATTCTCAGCTGTCCAGTCCCTATAAGCTGTAGCCCATCTCAATCTCTTAGTTACATGATCAGGCTTTAGCCTAGGTCTTGACTTGGCTATCCATTTTTTAATGTTTGCTTCTCTGAGTACCCAGTCCACTATGCAGGCAAATTTAGTAGACAATCATATCCAGTCATTCTGAGTAGTATGAAGAGTTATCAGTATTAAGAGAAACACTGGGTGCATAGTGATCTCTGAAGGTGCATCTGGTCATTTTCCGGTTGGACTTGGCTGCCTGTATAATTGTATGACTCTGTTGACCACTCAAAATGGAGGTGCGACTGGGGTGAGGGAGATTTTCAAGAGATTGATGTTGACATACTCGGGCAAGAAAGCTCTTAACTGTTGTCCATGAGTGTCTAATAATTTGAGCCACTAAGGCAATATTCCTGAGGTAGTAGAAAAAGGTGATTATCATGCCCTTCTCTGCAAGGCTCATTTCTTTCCAGGTGGTTTTAGGTGGGGGTTTTTTTTTGCAGCATACTTCATATTTCCAGAACGCTTAACCATTGGTAAAAAAGGTAGAGGAAATTAATAAATTAATTAATTAGGTAAAGGAGGCTTCAGTGGGTGTAGATTTGTGAATGGTCACGGTCGCGCTGGGGTGAATGGTCATGATCAACTTTACACTTCGTTGAAAGATAGCATTTTAGCGAGGCAGCTTAGTCATCTGAGACCAGTTTCACGAACACTTCTGCTGAGTGACTGTATATACCTGTTATAATTTGAAGTCCAGATATAGTACAGTTGATATTGGGGGTATTCCGCCCTCAAGTTAGAATATTCTTATTGTTTTAGAAAAGAGTGAGTAGATATTATTTTAGAGGCATTCGGGTATTCACCAAGAGACAAGAAGCTTGAAAGCTTGGTTGGAGCTTTGAACTTGAGTCTTCCTAGTAGAGCCAGCTTGAGCTTACCTAAACTTATACTCAAGTCAGACTTGAGCTAAGTTTGAGCATTTGTCAATAGCTATAGATTTCCTTATACCACATGTTTATATCTACTATTCTAGGAGGCTAGCAGTATATTAGGAGTACTAGGATCTGATATCTAGGAGCCGTCCTAAGTAGGATAGCCCCACTTGGAATCGAAATCTCTAGTCCCCAACACCCTCTTCCAGCCCCCTTATGAGGCCTGTATGTATTCATACATATATATCTTAGTTCCGTCCTGTAACTACAATGCCACAGATTTAACAGTATCAGAAGAACACCGTATACGCCATTACTGTCTATCCAACCGGATCCTGTTCACAGGATATATGAGAGGGGACATTTGACTAGGTCTGGGAAGTAAAACGGAGTAAATCCGCCAACTACCCAGAGAGTTACTAGGCTTCAAAGGTGGAAGATCTTTGGTATTGGTAGTTGGAAATGGGACATTTCTGCACAACTGATATGATATTGAATGTTAAAGGATTTCTACAAAAGGCCAATACATTCTCATCTATTCTACAATAATTACAAGAGTCTAGAACTTTTAGGAACACTACTAAGGAACTCAATGGACTTTATAGAGTGTTACAACTAAGTTCAGGGATGCATCGTGGTTGTGGAAATTATTCCCAATACCAAACAACAACTAAAGTCCTATTACCTAGAACAACCAAAAGTTGCCAATTGAGGGAATATCTACCAATCTGGTAGAATAGCTTCCTGCAGATTAGTAGGAAGTCATCTGGAAGATATCTGTATGTTGGATCCGGAGTTATGGAGGTTGAAAGTTGGTGACTTAGACTGAGATGATCAGTAGACTCAGAGTCATCTAGGCCAATTGAAATTAATTTATAAATGGAGGTTTATCTAGGAAGACTGATAAAATTACTTGTTTTATTTATAACTACTAATAGTAAAGTAAAATAAGATTGAATTGTAAAATAAGATTATATTATTAAAGACTCTTCTCTATTGCTAAATGATGTCTAAAAGCTTAGGAGGCACTTAAATATTTACATTTTATGTCTGAGTGTTCACAGACTACGTCTATTTCTCATATAAATTATGTACCTCTTTAACTATAACTTATAAGATCGGGGATTCTCCTGAAGTGCGAACACTAGGAGACCCTGAAAACCATCACACCCTCTTTGGTAATTACTATTTTACCAATTGGGAACTGTACTGTTCCCAATAGTAATTATCCAATCTTTAAAGTTATTAAAATGATGCCCTAGTTCTCAAGTTGAACTAAGTTGGCCTCAATTGTTTCCACTATTGATGAAATGATCAGTTTTATCTACATGTCACGCCAGCAGGTGCAGTCCTAGGTGTAACCTTCCTAGGTAGCTGACTTTAATTCACCATAACTCCTGATTCAACTAATGGATATCACTAGATAATTTCCTAGTAATTTGCAGGAAGCTATTCTACCAGATTGGCAGATAATCCCTTGGTCGGCAACTTCTGGTTATTTTAGGTAATAAGGCTTTAATTATTATTAGGTATTGGTGATAATTCCAACAACTATGATATATTTCTTGACCTAGTTATAACACTCTGAGAAGTCTATTGACTTCTTCGGTAGTACTCCCTAGGGGTTCTAGACTCTTCTAATTATTGTAGGGTGCCAGTGGAGGAAAATGTGTTGGATCTTCGCAGAAATCCTGTAACATTCAATATCATATATTTATGCAAAAATGTCCTGTCACCTACAGCTTTGACAAAAAATGTTCCATCTTTGAAGCCTAGTAAGTCTCTGGACAGTTGATGGATTTACTCTGTTCCACTTTCTAGACCTAGTTGATAGTCTCCTCTCATATATCCTGCAAGCAAAATCTGGTCAGACAGACAGTAGTGATGTATGTGGTATTATTCTGGCACCTTCAATTCTGTGATATTATAGTCATAGAACACAACTAAGATAGATATGTATGATGATATGTGGGCCCCTGTTAGGCGGAGAAAACCTGACAAACTCCATTGTTGTCTAGGCCAACCAAAATTCATTTCTGTAGATAGAGATTGTCTAGGAAGGCTTGGACTTCACTTGTTTCATTTATGACTACTAAGAGTGAAGTAAAATAGGTAAAGTAGAATTGAATTGTAAAGACAATATTACATTTTTAAGGTCTCTTCTCTGTTGCTTGATGATGTTTAAAGCTTGGGAGGCACTTCGATATTTATATTCTGCATCTGAGTGTTCGCAGTCTATATTTATTTATTATACAACTATGTACTTCTCTGATTATAACTTGCAATGTTGTGTATTCTTAAAAGGTGTGAATGCCAGGGGACCCTGAAAATCACCACACTTTCTTCGGCAATCACAATATAACTAACTAGGAACCATACTGTTTCCAATAGTAATTGTCCGATCATTAGAGCCTTTAGCCTTATAGCCTAGTTCTTAAGTTGAACTGAGTTGGCACCAATTGTCTTCATCATTGATGAAATGATTAGTTTCATTTGTGGGTTGTATCTGTGAAGGTAGTCGTAATCGTAACCTTTCTTGGTCGCCTGACTTCAAACTTTCATAACTCTTGACCCAACTGATAGATATCTTCCAGAGGACTTCCTACTAATTTGCAGGAAGCTATTCTACCGGATTGACAAATGATTCCTTGGTCAGCAACCCTTGGTTGCTCTGGATAACAGGGTTTCAGTCGCTGTTGTAGTATTGAAAGTCATTTCCGCGGCTACAATGTATTCTGAAACCTAGTTGTAATACTCTGTGAAGTCCATTAGCTTCTATAGTAGTGTCCCTCAGAGTTCTAGACTCTTCTGGTTATTGTAGGGTAGATGCCAATATATTGGTCTCTTGTTGAAATCCTTCATCATTCAATACCATCTCGTTGTACGAAAATGTCCTGTTACCTATGGCTCATGACAAAGATGTTACATCTTTGAAGCCTAGTAACTCTCTGAGTAGTTGATGGATTTACCCTATTCTACTTCCAAAACCTAGCCCAAGGTCCCCTCTCATATATCCTAGGAATGGGATCCGGTCAGATGGATAGTGGTAACGCATACAGTTTTATTCCGATATTTTCAATTCTGTGGCATTATAGTCACAGGACGTAACTGAGATTGATATGTATGATGATGTGCAGGCCCCATAAGGGGGCCAGAGGGGGTTGTTGGAGACCAGGGATTCTGATTCTGAGTGGAGTTATCCTACTTAGGGTGATTCCTAAGTATCGGATTCTGGTATTCCTAATAGCCCCATAAGGGAGCTGGAGGAGGGTGGATTGGAGACTATGAGATTCCAATTCCAAGCGGGATTACCCTACTTAGGATTGTTGCTAGGTATCGGATCCCAGTACTTCTAATATGAGAGGTCTATTAAATACTCAGTTATATATTCTTAAAATAAAATAAAAAAAGCCTTTTAACATACTCAGACATGGCCATAGAGTTTATTTAATATAATTTAATCAGTATTTGATATATCACTAACAATTATATATTAGTAAATTTTGATATTTCAAATAATATAGGAAAAGTAACTATACCTCAAGATTAATATTTCAAGAATAATAGTTTCAGCAGAGAAATAAACGAAAAAGCAGGTAAACTAATATTCTTAAATAATAGTGCCATCTGCATTCTCCTTCCTTTGTATTTTCTTTCCTTGTAACTATTCCACCAATTCTCTAATTGATCCAACCTTTTTCCACCACTTAAATAGCTTACTCATATTCCTATAAGCTTATCTGTTAGACAAATATATCTTATAAGATTAGTATATGCTTACTGTATTCTAACCATCTCTAATATATCAATTGTAATATTTCAGCTTCTAGCTTTAGAAGCCAGACTTATATCTAATTTCTCCTCTTATTCACTAAAGCAAATAGTTGAGCAACTCTGTATATGTATAAACAAAGTGCTCTGAGAAGAGAGTAGAAAAGGAAGTACCAGGAACAAGAAGGAGAAAGGGAAGTAAGGAGATAGGGAGCAGAGAAAGTGATAAGAAAGAGGCTATCTATATGAAGAAAGAGAGATAGTTGAGGGGGAGGGGAATAGAGAGAGAAAGATAAGAGGTATAAGAGGAAGGAGAATAAGGAGAATAAGAAGAGAAGGAGACGATTCAAGAGAGTCAGTTCTCATTTGCTGAAAATAAATAGTAGAAAGGAGCAGATTTGAAGTTGGGATATGGGACTACAATCAGGTTCCAGGAGCCTGAGAGCTAGATATACTGTCGTGGTTGAGGATGGATATGGAGAGAAGCTGAGAAAAATGGGGGGAATTGCGGTGGGTATTTGTATTTGAATAGGCCAAATATTTCGCAGTAACTTTGTGTGCGAGTGAGGGGATTCCCGGGGGACTGCGGGCGGGTTAACCCGATATATCCGCACTATCCGGGTGCAGCATGGTGGTGCACTCGATGTTTGGAGAGAGTGTTGAGAATTTTCTGCAATTGAGTGTGATAGCTAGCATCAGGAGTCTTGTAGGACCGTATTGTCAGAATGTTTTCCATATCAACTGATTGCTATAATTTGTGTAATGGATTATGGATCTTTAGTTTATTTACACTCTTCAATATGGAAACTGTATAAAGCACCTCACTTAGCAATAGAGACAAGCCTGTTAAGTGAAGAAGCTAGTACCCTTGTTGGAGGGTTGCAGTTTTGGTGAATCCTATATATAGTGGGCACGTGCGTGCGTGCGATATTGGAGATAGTGGTAGAGATAGGAGGAATAACGAGTTGAGAGTTCGTTATGAGATGCGATGCTTGAAAGTGGAAACCCCAAGTCCATCGTATAGTTGAGTGCGCAGCCTAATTGGGAGCATGAAGAAATTCTCCTGAGATTTCGGTACGATAACGAAGCCGAACAAAGATATACCATTTATAACAAGGTATTGGATCCAAAACCCAAATCTGAGATGGGGGCCATGATCGAGTAATGTCCCAGGGAGAGGACAAAGGATTTTAGCTTTGTGGCTTCTATTATCATGACGCCTCCGGGTTCGATATATTAGCCTACCATCTACCAACATTCCATACAAACTGCTTAGATCCATCGGTGGAGGTGGCGAAGCTTCATGCTCGCCCCATGCTCACCGCTGCACATACCCTCCCTCCCATTTCTGCACCCGCCTGGGACCTTGCGCGAGCGTATTATTTCTATCTCCAAAGCGGTTAGCGGACTGTAGTGAGGTCCGGGGCCAGGCGAGGGTAAGGGGGAAAAGGGAAGAAAAGGAAGAGCAGTCCCCGGTCTCCTCTAGGATCTATGCTTTGGCTAGTTGGATATTTCCTCGTTGGTGTGTGAAAGAGAGAGATCCAGTACGTAGGACTACGAGGGGCCGATTGCCTGCTTCCCCTCATCCTCAGAGGGGTATAATACCGGACCCCCTGTAAGGTACTGCTCAATTTAGATGAAAGAGCTGTAAGCAGATGTCCTCTAGAGGAGCGGTTCAATATCCACGTTATTGGACACGGCAATAAGATTCCGTTCATCAGAATGCTCTCTCGTCCCTCGTCTTTTCCGTTGTCGTGCCAGGGAGCTTCTCGGTCAGTGCATTGGTCGTACATCGAAATGGAAGAACAGCTCGATCGCTCTAGCGGCTGTCATGGTATCATAGAGCACGTACGGGCCAGACCGGGAGCTGGGATTCCGCTACGGAAAGCGGGAGGGAAAGAGGGCAATATTGCAGTGCTAAAACGAGTTAGAGAGAGTTCAGGAAAATTACTCAAGTCAGGCGAAGTGGGAGCATAAAACTACAGACCAATTGGAACTGGGTGTGTGAGGAAATAGGAAACCAGATTATCTGAGAGGAGCAAAATGTTTCCTTCGAGTGGTAAAAGCACAAAAAACGGGTATCATCGACCCATTCCCACAGTCTAACGGTTAAGGGTCCAGTCAAAACTAATGTGCACAGGGAAACCTGGGAGCTCAACACCCCACCAGAGGGTGAGCGTAGCAGGCAACTAGAAATAAATAAAAAAGGGACAAGCCCTGGCTAGCCACCCGTCTGCTGCCTGAAGCGGTGATTCACCTTTATTCTTAATAGAGGAACCCATACCGGTGGTCGAGAAGGCGTTTTTCGAGCACCAAGTTTTGAGATATCCTACCATATTTATGCAAAAAGGGAGTTGCTCACCCCAGAGTCCTTCAACTCGAAAAACATGTATAGCTTAAACGTTCTTCAGCTCCGGGGCCGGATACCTCTAATATGTCGGGTATCGCACATGTGTGGCTTTAGTATAGTGGCGGTATAGGAACAGTCAGTGAAACGTCTGCTACCTACCGACATCTCAGGGGACCGGCTTTCTAGTCAGACCTTGCAGCTTTACATTAGACTGAATGAATGGAGCACTCACCGGCTCAGGGACCCAATAGAAATGGACCCAATCCGCTGGAAATATGTGCCACAATTGCACTGTGGTACTCCCAGGGCAGGCGCATGTGCGGCAAAGTCGAGAGTTGGTTTTCCGAGAAGGGCAGAGCAGAGATCTTCCACTGGAAGAGGTCTGTGGCCATTTTGTGCTTCAGAATTAGCCACACTTTAGGGCCCGACCGGCCCTGCGATTCTGGAGGACCGGAGTCCTCAGTAAACTCCAGAGCCGGAAAAACCGAGACGCCACCCCGTAGCCATATACAGACACCCCCACAAACCGCAGGTGACCCCGAGTGGTCTACCATTTTCCAACCAAGACGGTGTGGGACAGTACGGATGTGATCTGCTCGAAACTATAAGGGACAGCAGAGCCAGAAAGAACTACCAACTGTACATATACCATAGCTCGCCTGCCACGAGCGTAGAACGCTTGTATGATGCAAGGAGAAAAGTGTTTGGTATGATAGGAATCCTCGTGGTTCCAAATGATCATAAAGCATCACTCGCTTTAGCCCCTCACAAGGCAGATACTCAAAGCGCAATCTCCCACGCCCCCACCTCCTCCACTATTATGCACAATGCCAAGCCAACGGAGCCCCTCAGCCCCCCGAGCCACAACACAGTCCACGCATTGATTAATAAATTTATTGAAGGGGAAAAAAAGGCATCTGGTCTGCTCGATAATCAAGACCCATCGCCCCCCCTCTTCAACTGAACAATGGACCCCCAGTTGCGAACTGAGGCAAAGAAAAAAAAGGCCGTCAGGTGCCCCTGCATTTTTAAGCGTATTGTACGTACGAGTACAGCAGAATATTACCATGGCACAATATTTATGACTTATGACACCTCGTTTGGGGCCGTTGCAGACTGATAGCCCATTATATTGCGTTGATATCATGATAAAAATCAATGCCAAGATACCGTGCGATGGGAGAGCCTCCCCGCTATTAGGCAGCACTGGCCCGATAGCAGGTTTGCCTACCTATCCCACTTTGGCGGGGTATAAAACCCCCCCGCTATTGGGCTAGAGCTCTCAGAATCTCCATCAACCGCTAACCATCACAACAAATCGCTACTCGAGCACTTTCACGCTTACGAACAGCATCGCATCACCCTACCGACTCGAACTAAAAACGTCATAGCTGTGTCTGCCCTATCTATCATACCCTTATCTACTCGAGTACTGCAGACTGGTCAAACCCTACTATCCACCCCTCTGCGTTCATTCAAAACTGCCTTAAAACCCCCCCCCAACATCACCACCGAAAAACCTTCACCAAAAACATCTCATAATGACTCACTACCTCCAACGATCAACCAGAAAGTCCGATTTACCAATCCCCCTAGACTACCGGGTGATAGACGTGCTCCTGGAGCTCTGCCGGAAGGGCGAACTCAAAGAGCTGCAGGAACTGCTCTTCACGCTGGCGAATGAGGCCCCGCCCTCGGTCCTGCCCCTGGACCTCCTGACCGCCTCCAAAGGCAAAGAATCATTGAACAACACCCTCCACATGGCCTCCGCGAACGGTCATTACGGTACTTCCATCCATCCATCCATTCACTTGTTACTAACTCTACTCACAGAGGTCGCCAGATACCTCCTAACCCTGCTCCCCAGGCCCACCCCGACAAACCCAAACCCACACAAACCGCATGCATTCGTGGCCCAGCGCAACAGCAGTGGGAACACACCGCTGCACTGGGCTGCCTTGAATGGGCACCTGGACATTGTCAAGCTGTTGATCGAGCGCGGGGGTGCGGAGCCCACGGTCACCAATAATGCCGGGCACAACGTTCTGTTCGAAGCCCAGTCGGCTAATAAGGAGGATGTAGCCAAGTTCCTCTTGGAAACATGTCCGGAGTTGGCGGCCCCTATCGGACGTACGGAGGAGGTGGTGATGGAGGGTGAAGGGGAAGGGGAAGGGGAAGGGGGAGCGGCAGAAAAAGGGAAGGGGAAGGAAACCGAAGGGGTCACCGGGGGAATGGGAGAGCTGGAGATTTCTGCTGGAGATACTAAAACTAACAAGGCTGGGAACGCTTGAACAGTGAGGTGGTTAGCTAGTCTAGTTAGTTTCTTCCATGCCTTTCATATTCTACAAGCGTTATACCCTAGTGCCTGCCTGCCCGCCGCATCATTGTAAGTAGCCGGAAAAGCTTCGAAATTGAGCGCCGTGAGGCGCCGCGGTAAAAACCTGTGATATCATTGCCTGTGCTCTGTTCTAGAATCGTCAGTCCATTACCCTGAAAAGCGAAGCCAAATTCCCGGGAGGCTACCATTATGGCCTAACCTACCGGTATTCCGGCATCAACGGCGGTGACTCGACAAACAGGCAAACAGGCAAAACAACCGCCCAGGCCCGCAGAGATACTCTCACTAGTGGGTCCCGCTTGTTAGCCAAGATTACAGCATGTAAGCCTAGTACGTAAGAAGAAAAAAATAAGACTTGTTCCCTGTTTCCTACTCATCGAGTGACTAATCGTGAATGCGAACTTGTCCTTTGGCAACATTCCAATTTCATTAGGGATAGCCACCGGGCCTAACGTAGACAGGTAATGAAGGCCGAGTGAGGGAACAGAAAAATCACAACCAGAAAGACCCCGACAGATAAGACTTCATATTATCACTCTCCTTTTCCTTCTCCTTTCCGGCGGACGCCCCACCGGGAAAGCGGGAGCAAGGGGGGAAGGGCGGAGAGGCAGGACAAAAAACGCAAAAAGGAAAAAAAAGCCCACAAGATGGATAAAAAATCATCGTTGACCACGGTTCGGCACTGTCGAAAATACATCCAAAACAAGATAAGCCGGCCAGCATATAGATAGCCATAGTAAGAACACAGAAAATTCTAACCCGCCCTTAGAGGCTAATGGACAGACGGACAGAGACTCAGAAAGTAGGTAAAACTCAAACACCCTTCCACACGACCAACATGCCCCCTACAACCATCTAGCCAAATCCCACACAAGAAAAGGTAACGAGAAAAGGGAAGAGGGGAAAAAACGAATAATAGAGCACCGAAATAGAAACATACTCGCCCTATTCACCGAGTGCGTGAAAAGCAAGGGCGAGAAAACGAGACCGGATTCACGCAACCAATACTTAAGGTTTCATAACTCCGCCTGCAGGCTTCCTCCAAAGTCCCACAGTCTGCTTCTCTATCTCCTTCTCTTTCTGGCTTTCGGGGCTGATACTCAGCGCGCCATCCATTGTCCCACCCTCACGCAGTTTGTGGATGGCCCTAACAGTGTCGATAGCAGCGTGGAGGGTTTTTCTAGCGTTGAAGTTTTTGCGAACGACAGGGAGAAGGTCATTGCCCCTGTACCCTTCCACCAGGAAGGGGTGCTCTAGGGCCTTGTGACAGGTCATGCGGGCACTCGGATCTATGGTTAAACAACCACGGATGAAGTCCCGAGCTGCCAGGGGTGAATTATTGTCAGCGGAGTGGAAGAACAGAAGGGAGTGTGGGAAATGATGGGAGGACCTGTTTCAGAGACATCTTTCCAGTAGTCTTCTGGCTCGAATTTGTAGTCTGCTTGGGAGATCGCAGTTACCTCATCTACATGGTTATCCCTGTCGAAGGGTGTGTATCCACAGAGGAGGAAGTATGTAATAACACCGATAGCCCAAACATCACTAATCACAGTTAGTACTCGAAAGAGGCAGACCCGACAGGAGCGCAGAGCTTACACTGGTTTCCCGTGACCAGTCTTGTTGAAGATTTCGGGTGCCATATATCCCGGTGTACCGCATGTTGTGGTCAATATATGGAACTGCTCCTCATCCATTATTCGAGATAAGCCGAAATCAGCAATCAGCAAATCTGAATTATCTTCCGCAGTCCTGAAAAGCAGGTTCTCGGGCTTCAAATCTACATTCCAAATTAATCAGCATCTCAACTATTCAATCTTTCAACTGCGGAGTCGACCTCTGTGCACGATCCCGTGATCGTGCAAGTAAGCAACTGCCGATAGAGTGGCGCGAATGAGATCGGATGCATCAGACTCGTAATAGGATCCCTTCCGACAAATCCGGTCAAACAATTCTCCTCCGAGAGCAAGATCGGTGACAAGGTAAACTTTAAATAGTTAGTCTCTGAGAAGCCCCGTGGCGTATATAAGGGCACTTGCGATTATTCATAGTCTCGAAATAATCTACCAGAGTGAGAATATTTTGATGACCCATAGAAACCTTCTTCAAAACAGCGATTTCGTTTCGAACCTAGCGCAAACAAACCAGGGGAAAAGTGATTAGACCAACATGGTCTTGGGGAAAAAAATTTGCTCGTGGTAAGGTGGCCTTACCATGTGCTCCCTTCCAACCATGAGTCTCTTGTTAATGACCTTTGCAGCATAATACCTCCCTGTGTCAATATGGACACACTCTTTCACGACACTGTAACTCCCCGAGCCAAGTGTTTTACCAGTCTTGTAACGGCAAGGTTGGACCTGTGGTTTTTGGGGGGCCGATGAGTTTTCGGGGACCGCGCTCATTGCAGTTTGATAGCTCGGTTAGAGAATTGTTATGGGAAGCGACGATGTGCAGATCAATAGCTTGGACGGGGTCTAAGCTGGTTCCAGTCAGCAACAAAAGGGACGGAAGTAGGGGTAGTAGATTTCTGGTTTCAATATCAAGCGATAGGAGAGTGTGCAGGATGGAGATGGTAAGGCGAGAGAGTACCAAAGCGGGGGGGGGGGGACAGTTAACTTATGGGATTTCAAAAGTCAGACAGAAGATGTCAGCTCGAGGGCAGGTGGTGCGGGCGCATGGCAGGATGGAAAGGTAGGAAGGAGGGAGGGTTTGGTGGGACTGAGGCTGAATAACAAACAACCTGTTGGTTGGTGTGGCACCGTGGTGCCGGTGATGGTGCTGGGAAGTTGCCGTCAGGGGAGGGGAACTGTACGAGTACTCGTAGAGGGGTACGGTGATAACGAAAAGAGTCAAAACTCAATTCCCTGAATACACTCTATCACCATATCATACCGTAGCCCACTGGACTCGTGAAGCAACAGAGATATATATATGATGCCAACGAAATTTGAGATCAATTTAACGAGTTGGGTATATAGCCAAATATTCCACCAAACTGCAAAGCACACCCTAGATGCTCGAGTGGCATACCGCAGTGCCTGTACTGCCAGAGCCTTTATGCAACTGGGCTTGGAAGAGCTGGGCGGAGAGGGGGTGGTGGTGTCTGGCCTTTGTAACCGTTGATTTATCGTACCTGAAGGTTAAAGCCCAATTCCGTTCTAGTGTCCCTTGGAAAAGCACCCTGCGGACTAGTCAGTCGCGCAAGGGCTCTAGACTACCAGTATAGACTGTACAGTGCTATGATACCATATACACGACACAGTACAGTATTAGTGCAATACCAGTACTCTACAGCAGAATTCCTAAATGTTGGTGCTTACCGGTACTCCACTGCTCGAGCACAGTACTTGAGTACTGTACTACTAGTACAGTACAAGTATTGTACCACAATATACCGGTATGCGAGACTATCTGCTCCGATTAGGCCTAATCCCTGCAAATGGCAAGCACCACACCACAACACCCGTGAGCATACTCTTATCGGTATCCTATTATGATACAGACAGGCAGCAGGCACCCATCTGACCCTACAGTAGAGGCTCAAAATCACCACCACTCAAGGGCGGCGTCCCTAGGGATAAAGTTACTGTAACCAACCATCTGTCGGCATGCTCGATACGGTAGCCTACCACATTCTTAACTCTTGCGATCCGCTATTCCAGTCTTGGAAGTTTCAATAAGCCACCCTGCAATTCTAGCTCTTCAAGATACTGTACGAGTACAAGTATTAGCCTACCGGTATGCGATACTGGAATGCTATCATACACCGCTCACTCTCCCGGAATCCTGCTAAAGCGAGAAGTGTAGAGTTTTATGCTCCAACACTGTATTATGATATAAGGTACCGTACGCAGACCTAAAAATGCTACTGAGAACACTCTCTACGCATGGTAATACTCTCTGCATCAGAACGTCGGCTTCTACACACTTTCCGGGAAGCCAGTGATTTCCTCCAATACCCATGCCGGTATCATACTAGCCTTTGGTTCGACTCCATGAAAAATTGTTCAGCCTGAAATACAAACACTCAGTTTACTACTGGGGCATGATAGCATCTTACATCTAAACAGTACTTTGAGCGCACCGCATCCCTCCCCTAACCCACCGCACCCAACTCATATCACATCCCATGTACTCGATCGAGTACAATCAAAGAAAGATACCGAAAGGTGGTTTCACCAAGGTTTTTATTTTTATTTTAGGACTACAAGACAAGATCGCCATTTGAAAACTAAAAGTTGCGCCCCATACAGAATCCAAACATACATGGAAAAATAGGAACGAAAGTTGAAATCACGATCAATGCTACCCCCGATGGCATGGCATGGCCCCTTAAACATACCACATGGCATGTTTGATGGTATCATGAAGAGGCCTAATATCAGCCACATCGCCCGGGTCCCTCTTCTCACCAGAAGTAGTGGTCGTGATTGTATTGCCCTCATCAGCAACCTCATGAGCACGGGCACGAGATGATGCTAGATGGGCGTAATAAACCGCCGGGACTAAGAGATTGTTAGCGATAGTCTCAAAAAATGGAGAGAATTTAACATACTCAATGACACAGAATTACTGGCGCGAATGTAAGTGTAGCAGGAGTTGTAAACCAACGCCTGGAACATATCAACCGGCATTTTGTTTTCATCATGGATGACATGATAGTGAACCGGGCGCGCAGTCCCTTGGATGGCATTATGAGCCGCAAGGTCTAATATGTTAGCAAAAATGCACCTTTAAAATGCAACGCAGGAGAACTCACAGAAATCGTATTCGGTTGGATGAGTAACATCACGTTCAACGATTGTTCCAGGGAGGCAATTGCCGTTCCTGTCTTGCGCGTTGCGCTCGACTGGGAAAAAGCGAGTATGATGACGCTTAGAGCAAATGGTGACAGTGATCTTTGGGTTATAGTCGGCCTGCAAAACCTTGCATGCCTCCCTCATATCACGCAACTCGTCGTCAATGATCTGTTTATATTGGCCCTCGCTAACACCATCGCGGAAATAGAAGATACGCATAGGTATCTTGGTGGTCTCCTGCCGAAAGGCGCGCAAAAGGGTACACATGAATTTAACCATATTGTTGGTAGTAATGCACTCCTTGCCCTGACCATTTGTGTTGCAAATGGCTGCAAAACGACTACCCTGCACTAAATTTTCGAGAATCATTAGATAAAGATATTTGCCAAGCAACAAAGAGAGACATACTATCAGTAGATCCAACCATAGAAGCAAAAGAAGCTTTGGTGATCCCCGGGGCTGGATGAGAAACATCAGCGCCCACGATGATACTCGCCTCCTTGCCGAAAAGAGGGTGATCGCTCTTGTCAAGAAAACAAGTCGTGCCACCAAGCTTAGCATTGACCTTCATGCAAACGTTAGAGCAATATTGCGCCTTTGCCTGAGCCACATGCCTCGATTGGACGCCTATTGTCAGGGATGTTAGTTGAGTCGAAGGGGGAAAGGGGGGAGGACAGCTCACATTGAGAAACAACACCAATGTTGAGCTCACAGAATGCCTTAATCTCATTGTATGGCTGGGGCGATTTGGCACTAAGAACGAAAAACAACATTTGGGGTTTGGCCTGGACTTGATTCCCGGCTTTCTTGTAAAGCTCGAAAATATTAGTCCCGACGGACTTCTTTGGGTCCGCGTACATGATTATCGGTTCCTTATTTTGAACTTGCCCACCATGGCCGATGTATACTGAGACCAACTGCCGGATAAAGGTTTTCACAGTAAGCTCATCGCAGTTCCTCTGCGGCGCGAAGATCATGAAACCCCAACCCTTGAGTGGGGCACCGATTTTAGCAAACTTCTTCCCGCGAAGGTCCCATTTACCGTCGCGTGGAGTAAACACACGATCGGTCGAACCGTCACCATAGCAAATCTTGGGAGCGTTCAAAATACGACCTTTGGACTAAAGCGAAGTTAGAATAACTACCTTGCGAAATGCGAGTTAAATGTGTACAAACCTTGATCATATTGGTATCAATTTCCATACCATATTTTGTAAGGATGGGATCCTTCTTCCAATCCAACTGGGCCACATTTGACTTGATTTGTTCCATGCGGATAGTCGGGCGCTGTACCAGGAATGTTAGCACGAAATCCGTCCAAAGTAGTGATCTCAGGACAAAGTACTTGAACAGTAAATTTGATCATTTCCGCCGTTTGACGATCATCGAGCTTGAACGGATAACGTTGGCCCTAGAAGTGGTGTTAACTTGAATTAGCGCGATCCAACTCTCCATGATAAGAGCAACCCTACCTCCTGGATGTGGCACAGCTCCATTGGAAAAACTTCACCCTTCTTCCGGGTCTTGACTAAGGGAAGCTGAGGATACTTCAGTCTCAAATTGTACTGCCTCAGGAAGTAATCATAAGCGGTGATGGTTTCAGTGGTAACACCTCCATCAGCGTTATGACGCTTCATCTCAAATGTGTAATCAATCGCATTCTGGTCAAATCCCTCGATTGTATAAACCTTCTTTCGAACCTCGGTATCGCGCTTACGATGGGTGCAGAAGAAGGAGACCCGCCTGAGACGGCGCAAATCACGAGATATCACGCCTTTACCGTGCTCCTTAACAATCTTTGATTGAAGATCCTCGGGAGAACCTATTATAGAAAGCTTTAGTATCGATCAAAATAACAAAACTAATGAGGGGGAATGCTACCGTTCCAAGTCATACGGCACGCAATGTCCAACACTGTGCCCTGACTCCAAAACACAGTCGTTGCGACATCAACGTTGATGGTAAGACGACCACCTTGAGTAGCACGAACCGATTGGAAAATTCCCTTCCATGCTTCAACACCGCGTTCCATTGGGGTTTTCCCAGCTGATTGGAAGAAGGAACGTTTGATCGTAATAAAATGCTTGCTGGGGGTCTCCCGCATGAGGTGGTCAAGGAAATTAATCCCGACAAGAACATCATTGTCCAGGCGATAATCCCCCTTCACGAAGGCCTCAACGACCTGAAGCGGGACCCTACCAGACTTTTGAATGACGACACGATGTTTGTTATCTCTAGCGGGTCCGCCACCTCGCCTCGCCGGACGACCATCACCTAGAGAAACTATGGTTAGTGATGGTTGGTAATGGTGAGAGAATGGAGATCCGGATAACTTTACCTTCATCAAGGTCGACACTGGTAACATGACGATCTCCAAAAGGGAACGAGGTCACAGACCATGCCAACTTATTGCCTATATATGGTTTAGTAAATTATGTTAGATATGAATCACCAGGGAGTCTCCTACCATCAAACAATACAGTATTTTTTGCGGCTCCGAACTCCGATTGCAGTTTGTCCGAGAACCAAATTTTCTTGATCAAGGCACGCTTCTCATTACCAGAGCCAATGGTAACCTGCTCCAAACTTAACACCTCTGAAAGCTAAAAACAAAAGAGAGTAGAAACAGAAACCAACTTACATCGTACTGGTTGATGGCAAGAGTGGGGAATCTAGAAACAGCATATGAATTCAAGGCGATAGTAGCAGGTCTCCCTTTAGTACCAAAGGCAGGGCGTTTCGGAAGGTCCTGTTGCAGGTGGTTAGGAGGGGCAAAATATAATGAAGTGAAATAAGGGAACAGATGAAAACTTACACCTTCCGTATGAGTAGCCATTGGGTTGTTTTGATGAGTACTTTTTTTTTTTTGCTTTTCAGCTGTTAGAGTTAAGGAATGGTTGATGAAATAATGCGGAAGAAGTGAATATTTTAAAAAGCAACCAAGAGGTAGTGAAAATAAAAAGCAGAAACAGAGGATGATCAGGAATTATATGAAGGGAGGGGATTAACTTACTTGTATGATGGGTAGAATTTGTGTGTTGGGTTGACAAGGTAGATGAAAGATGAAGGTGTTAGGAAAGTGTGGGGAGAGAGGGAGAGAGGGAGAGTTGATGTCGAGATAAGAAGGGGGGAAGGGAGGGAGGGAGGGAGGGATGAAGTGAAGGAAGGAAGAGAGAAGGGAGGGGAGGGAGGGAGGGGGGAGGGAAGGGAAGGAAGGGAAGGAAGGGAAGAGAGAAAGGCTTGTGTGGGTGGGTGGGGGTGGACGTTAGGGCGTGAGGTATACGGCTCCTTTGTGACGCGTACCTATGTGGGCAAGCGCGATCACAGGTCAAAGGGCAGGAAGAAGCCGAACCTATGTTTTCTGGTGACCACGACAGAATTGGTGGTGGACACTGGAAAGAACAGGAGTGGAGGAGGGCAAGTGGGGAACAGGATGCAATTCGTGATGTTTCTCTTCGGAGAATAGATGGAGGATGTTAAGTACGAGTACCGTACCGGTACGGTACTCGTACTGATACAAAAGTCAATGGACGGATAAGGGCCCGAAAGCTTGGTTGCTGACAAGCCCCACATTTATTACTTCAACACACTCGCTTCTGTTGCCAACTGGAGTTCCCGGACATCTCGCCTTAAACAGCTAGCGTTCTCAACTACAATATGCCTAGCGAAAAAAGTGTGTCGATCATACAATCTTAATGGTAGCGCACGGGGTGTCTCATAACTACCCTACCGGCAACCCTTCACGAAGCTTATTTCATAGCAAAACTTTCCTGGAACCCCATGGGCACAATGCCCCACGCTCACACAAACGCCCTTGGTTTCCACAACGGATTACCATAGCGCAGAACCACCTGCTATCTACCATCTGAGCAGGCTACCGGTATCTGTAGTATTGCACAGGGACTGTACTAGTACAGCCACTTTCCTGAATGAGTCGAGACCAGTATGGTACAGTTTTTCCAACCAGAGCGAGAGAGATCTGAGATTTTTCGGACGTGGTGTGAGTTGCACTTATGTGAAGGCATATCCAGAATTTATCAACTTATAGTGTGCTATGATACTTCAATACCAAGAAATTATAGACATTCACATTGGTCGTTGATAAAATTTTCCTTTTTGTTTTTTAGAATCCCGCAGACACACTTACGGCTCGTGATCACCTGCTCAAGGTCTCTTCCCCCCGCGAGCGCACAGCATTATGAACCCGTATGATACGGCAGATGCTGCAGCTATCTAAAAAAGACCAAGATCGTTATCCACCCACACCATCATCATCACAGCCAGGGAAACCACCCAATTGACCCCGACGAGCCTCATTGGTGTGAGGAGCACGGAGATCGTCTGTCATCATCAAACTAAACCTTAATGGGCTCAACAGCTGAACAGTTTGGGTTCGGTATCCCGTTATGAGGCTATGGCCCCTGTCAGTGAGTGGATGGAGGGTACAGTACTGTATATGGGGGTCGCTATTCCCTTGAAAAACGAGGGTCTATAGGTCCTGTATCGGCTATGACACGTTGTGTGCAGCTCAAGAAACCAAGGAAGGCACTCTCGCTGGGCCAACCGGTCCACCCACAATAGGCTCTTTTACCATTTTGCCGTGGCGGGGGTGTCTGGAAGGCCTAAACTTTCGGAACCTCGTTCCCCTCTACCGACACAGAATTAGGCCTCAAACATCGTATGCCGAGTGATGCATGATGAACATACCATTCAACTTTATGATGATGTGGTTCTACAAGACCAGCAATGACCCATTGGTGATACCAATACCAGTATCATATAAATTACCTACAGGAAATTACCTCCCTATCTATCAAGAGGAGCGTGATCCTGCAAGACCATCCCACAAGTTTCACCTCCACCCCCCCCCCAGTCTCGTCACTCTGATCAATAATAGCTGGTCTGCAGACACCTTGATAATAAAACATGATATGTGGTAATCATAATGCGATGGGTTCGTGCATTGATTTTTAGGCCGCCCGCTATAGTTACACCCAGAAATTACCATTACTGGTAATGCGCAATGGAATATATTGGGCATGAATTGAGAAGATTCTCATTTGCTCATGTTTCCACCACGATCCTTGGGGCATATTTTCCCTCTCACAGCACGTTTTGCCTGATGGGGTTGTCAGTATTTTGCCCCCCGCCAAGAAGGAGTTGGGATGAAAACGCAAGAATCATATCATAGGTTAAGAAAGTATGCGTTGTGTAGAGGAGATCTTGGCCATAGAACGGGATCTTCATAGCTCTAGGGGGGGGTTCTTTTTCTTTTTTCTTTTTTCTTTTTAACATTCTTGGAAAACTTAGGCCGACAACCTTTCCTCTCAGGAATGCATCATTACTATTATGGTCTATGTTTTTCCCAAGTAGTTTGTGCGCGAGTATTCCGGTGGTATAGATTTGGTATGATACCTACAATAGCATAAAACCTACGGTAATGGTAACGTCGTGATAAAAACCTTTAAGCGAAGGAACTTATGATTGTTATCATGTCAAGAGCCTGACCGGGATATATTGGGGGAGCATCTCTTTGCCCCTAAAGGGAGTGAGAGGGTTGGGAGGTATGTGCGGTACAAGTACTGTACTGTAGGAGGATGATAATGTACTCGAGCATAGTGGAAATTCCCTGAAAGTGCAATAAAAGGGCACGATAATGTCACTTATGATGTTTGCGCTACTGAATCACATTGCGATCAATTTTTGAAGCCGTGACTTTGACCGCCGTTTGTGACCTGGTGTTTTTGTTCATGACATAAACGTTGATGCCTGTGCCGTAAAGTGTACTCGAGTATAGTACCGTACTGTAGTGTGCCACCACTCCCCCTCATTGCTAATTGGGGGTAGCGGTACAGTACTGCACCCGGTGTTTTGGATTGCCGCGGCCTGACGCGTAAAGTGTATTGAGGAAGACGCGAACCGTTTTGTTGCGCGACTCAGGTTCACCCTAGCAGTATGGTCGCGTCATACCGGTACATACCGGGACCAAGTGGGATGACACGGTTGCCATGCCGTCCTAGCGATGCTAAGCCTTTTTCCCCACCCCGCGGCTATCTCGTCAGTTGCTCTGCGCTACCCATACCCCCTCCTCTCTTTTACCTACATCCTTCGTTCCTGATCACACAAACTTGCAGTATCTTTCTTAAGAAAGAAAAAAAAGGGAAAACAAAATCAAAAAACAATCAGGCTCTATCTAGGTGAAGGAGGAAAGGAGAAGGGGAACAAAAAGGCGGGAGAGACAAGAAAAGGGAAACACGGATAGCAGAAGGAGGAAGTAAGGGGAGAGCCAAGCAAAATTGTCCAATCAACTGACTGATCTCTTCTTGGTTGCTGACTCGCTGAAGCTTGTCTCTTCCCTCATCTGAGCTTCCCTACTTCATACCCTTCCATTACTTGCTGCGCATCAAAGCAACAGAAACATATCTCACTAAACATCAAACTACCAAGCATTATACAGATGGCGGACGAGAAATCCCCTCCTTATTCCCCACCTGCCAGCAGTAAGAGCAGCCTTACTTCCAGACCCAGCACTGGCAGTTTAAGAGCTGCTCACCCTCCATCTCCACGTTCACCCTCTCGGCATCCCTCTGTGTCTTCACAGCAGTCAATGGCCGATATCCTCTCTAGCCCTCCAAAGCAAGAGGGTGTGCCACTACGGGACTGGAGAGCTGTCAAGGTGGGCGAACTGCTCAGCAATAAGGAGCTCTTGTTCGTGGATCTTGACACCCCGGTCGAGTCAGCATGCCAGGTGAGCCCTCCCCGATTTCTGCCCCCTAGTTCCAGCATCATGCGCCTGATATTATGACGTATTTGCATACCTTTCGTTTGATCTGTGGAATACAAAAAGACCTCGCCAAAATCGTTTTACTCACTCGCAGTGCTTAGACTCTTATCCACAACGAACTTTCGTCGCTTCCAATTAGGTCGTCCCCTAATGCGGAGTCCGTATGTGGGACCTTCGACTATAGCGACTTGACGGCATTTCTCCTCTTAATAATGGGGTTATATCAGCCCGATGAAGATGAGGACATGTCGTCTTTCGAAGAGTTGGCGAGGAAAGCTCGAGCAGGGGCCACTATTCCCGTAAAACTTGTTAAGGATCTCGGGAAAAAGGATCCGTTCATTACTGTTCCAGAGACCGAGGGCCTTGCCAAAGTTGTTGAGGTGTTTGGAAGTGGGGTTCATCGAATCGCGGTTGTCCGTGAAGGGACAAACCAGGTTATCGGGATGATTAGCCAACTGCGTCTAATATCCTTCTTCTGGGAACACGGCAGGAGTTTCCCTGCCATAGATCAGCTTTACCCTCGCTCCCTACGTGATTTGAATATAGGTTCTGGAGAAGTCATCTCGATCAAGTACGTATCCGGCGAACGGAATAGTCTGCGAAATTTATTTCGTAGGTTAGAATGCAATGGGGCTAACGCAGTCGTAGTGGGGACAAAAAAGTTCTCGATGCACTTGAATTGATGAATTCCGAGGGCGTGTCTTCATTGGCTGTTGTAGACAATCAGCACAATGTGGTCGGGAATATTTCGACTTGGGATGTCAAAGTAAGCTCATTCCCCCTTTGTATCATTGGTGCTCGGCATCCAATCTACAAATATCAAGCTGAATCTCTTTTCATAGTATCTCACAAGATCAAGTTCAATGCCTCTATTGAAATCCCCCTGCCTGCACTTTTTGTCAGTTATTTTGACAGACAGAGGGTTAAGCGATGGCAAAGACTCATATCCGGTATTTCACGTGAATGCTCAGTCAACCCTCGCACACACGGTAGCAAAGATTGTAGCAACACAGGCGCATAGGTGAGTAGGCCCCTCTAGAAATACATTCGTTCTACGTTGTTCTGACATTGAATTTGTTTGTAGAATGTGGATTGTCGAAACCCCTAGTCCGGCGTCTACTGCCCCACCAACACCCACTATACCCCCAGCAGTTGCAGTACCACCACTATCTGTGCTTTCCCCGCTTCCTTCTTCTTCTTCCTTCCCGATCACAGCACCAACCACCCTTACCGCCGGGGCCCTTCCAGGGGCGCATCTTAGTGGCAGGTTGATGGGAGTAGTATCTTTGACAGATATTCTTAATATATTTGCTAGGAGCGCTGGTTTGACCCCGGTGGACCCTAACGAAGCTAGAAGGCAGAGACGCAGAAGTTCTTCTAGTTCGATGAGAGCAAGCTTCGACCAGGGTAGCCGAAGCTCGCTTGATTTGCGTGAGCTTCGCGAATCATCGAGGTCTTCATTTGAAATTCGCAGATGAGCGTTGGATCTTACCCACTCTGGGGGGTTGATGAGAGGGTATATCGATCACTGATGGAGTTCGCATGTTTTTCCAAAACACCCCATTTCCCGTTCGAAGTAGTTCATTTGTATTATACACCTGATGCGAGTTTTTATTCGCTCTCCACGTGCATCGTACCGATTTTCGATTTTCAATCCTCACTTTCCCCCATTCATTAACGCTCAGTTATCCTTGGATAGGTACCGGGAGTAGGTTACCGGCAGGGACAAGGGGACGATGCGGGTGGGGTTTTCCAATTCCGTGTGAAGCAGTGGTCTTTTTTTTTTTTTTTTTTTTTTTTTAATATTTTTTCTAGGGCGGATCAAATTCTGTTTAGGTCCGCCGTCGAGGAATTTCCTCAACTTGTCATGTATTTTCTTCAAAAAACTTTGAAATAAATAGAAGCACATGGTCATCTGGGCGGAATAAAGAGCCAGAAATTATATCATATCGTACCGTAAATCACTTTTTTGCGCCAGTGTGGGGGGAAACCAGGATGGTGCCAAGATATTTTGAACCGCCTCTCGTGTTGGACGAACGACCAACTTCACACCATCAAACCACACCATGATCCTCGGGAAATTGGCCTTACGACAGAGTATGTCTACCTACCTAGCATGAAATCGTCCTACTAAATCGCTGGAATACGGGGAGTCTACTGATGATATCTTCGAATTGCAGGCCGATTGACTTCGCTTTCCGGGGCCGCAAGAAATTTCGCCAGAGCAATCACCTCCGAGCAGAATGGAAGTACCAACACGGGGCCAGAGGTGACTCCTGGAGAGGGAAGGGTCGGCATCTCCCAATCCTCAGATCCAACACAGTCCAGTAGTGCCACCGGCCCGGCCAGTGACAAATTAGAGGGTCAAAGTCAAGCCTTCACCAGATCCCAAGAATACGAGAATTTCAAGCAATTCCGTGCATCCCCTCCACCCCCCAACACTAAACCCCACCCAGCACTAACACCCAACTTCCAGAAAACACCACAGGAAAACTCGGCTCCATCCCCGGCCGGATCTACAGACCGCACATCGCCGTCAACCACCCCCCAGGACCGCGAGACATAACCCTCGAGCTCTTCATGGCCTCGGGCGCACACCTCGGCCACCTGACCTCCCTCTGGAACCCGGGCAACGCGCGCTATATCCATGGCATCCGTGACAACATCCACATCATATCCCTGGAAACCATAGCAGCGCACCTCCGACGGGCGGCCAGGGTCGTCGAGGGGATCACGCGCGCCGGTGGGTTCATAGTCTTCATCGGGACGCGCGAGGGGCAGGAACGCTGCGTCATAAACGCAGCCAAGATGTGCGGTGGGGCACACGTGTTCGATTGGTGGATCGCGGGGACTATAACTAATGCTCATAATCTGCTGCGGAAGAGGAAGGTTGTCGAGCGGGATATGGCGGATCGCGTCGTCTCGCTGAAGCCTATCGATGATGGCAGGGTCGTCGTGCCGGACCTTGTGGTCGTGCTGAATCCCATGGAGAATTCGGTTGCCTTGCATGAGTGTGCACTTGCTGGGGTGCCGACTATTGGGATTGTGGATACGGATATGGATCCGCTTAGGGTTACGTATCCGATTCCTTGCAATGATGATAGTTTGAGGGCTGTTCAACTTGTCGCAGGCATACTTGGCCGGGCTGGCGAGGCGGGGAGGCTGGCGAGGATTAGGGAGGCAGAGTTGGAGTCTGTGCAGGTTAGGCCTGAGGATGAGCAGCGGCCAGCAGAATATGAATATGACAATTAGATAAGATAATGGAGCGGACGCGGGAACGGATGCATTTGCGGGCCGTTAGGTAAATACGAAACTCCCTCTATTTGTATATACAATTCTGCTCCGTACTGTATCCTAGAGTTGAAACAAAAAAACGGGCTTCCTATAGACAGTGTTCTTGGGGAAATTGGTGGAAACAGAGAGGAAGGAAAAAAGTGCCAGACATCGCATCGTAAGAAACAACAAGAAAGAGGGGGAAGCTAAAGGACAAGGATGTATCACATGGTGTCAATCGTAGGTTCTCTACAAACAAACTGTCAAAACAAACTGTCTACCTATCCGCAAATGGGGCAAACATGAGATATATCATAGGAACGAAATGGGAAACCATCCTAGTGAATTGCTCTCATGACAGTTTCAACCCTGATAAATCCCTCATTAGCACCACTCACGCCAAAGCAAATTATCGTGGGGAGCCAGCGCAGTAGGGCTGGGAGAACATACACAAAGAACGTCCCCGCAGACACCGGCATGGCCCTCAACAGCGTCGGTCCTAGACCCTTCCAGAACCCCATGAACCCCTCCTTTACATAGGTCTTTGCAAAGCAATCCCTCATGTTCTTATAGGCACGATGACTCCCAATCCTGTCCGTCTGCATCCTACTTTTGACGACGTCGAGGGGGTAAGAGGCGAGCCAGAGCGCCTCTCCCGCAAGACCTCCGTAGAGTGCAATTTTCCACGACGGGATGTCGGAGCGGGGCTTGTTGCGAGATTCCATCTTCATGAGGTATTCGAATGTCAGGAACCAGACCCCATAGGCCTGAGCTTCTCGAAGGATGGTGACTACTTCGCCACGGTAGAGGCCGTTCGCTACGCCGCCGGTTTTGAGAAGCTTGCGGACGCAGTCTGCCGGGCCATCGTAGAGGCGGGCGGCACCGTGGGGTTGGGTTTGGAGGCGGATACGGACGTGCTCTATCGGACCGGAGATTGTACCTGGAGGGGAAGGGGGTCGTTAGTATGCTCTTGGAGAGGAAGGGGCGAGAAGAGGGGGAGCACTGTTTGCCACTCCAGCAGCGGCACCGGCAAGGTAGTATTGCCCATAGGTGAGGTCGGTTCTCTCGGGATGTCTCTGAGCGTTGTATGCCGCAATCCTGCGACGTGCGTCGTGGAATGCTCCAAACTGAATGCTGACACAGGCCCCTATCCCGATCAATGGAGTCAAGGTTCCCTACCGTAGCATAGTCATTAGCTTATATTGGAAGAATGTAGGAAGTTGGTAAGAACCTTATAAAACGCCAAAGTCCCTTCATTCTTATAAATCTTTGCCGCAGCATCCAGCGCACCCACATAGTGCGAAGAAGTCTGCAACCTAACCTTAACAATGTCTAAAAAATAGGAGTCAGCGACCCCCACCCATCCCAAGCCATACCACCACCAGCAGCGGCACTCTGCGTAGAGGTAATAAAAATCTTACCAAAAGGTTGTCCTACAACAAGTCAACTCATTAGTTTGCGCCCAACTCAAGACAGTCCAATTAAAGCACCTCGAAAAACAAGCAAAACAGACCTATAAGAACCTGCGCAACCCCTCCAACTGCCCCAGCGAATAGGTCTTTAAGAGTCCTGGTCAAACTCCCTTGGTCACTTCCGGTCATTTAGAAAACTTCTCGTTACTACCGCACGAGCCTAAGCACTGCAGTGGTTATTTTGAGGGAATAGAGAAGCAAGGAAACCAGGAAATTGGGGCCGTGCTGGGCCGGCTCGGAAGACGTAGGAGAAGAGGACGGGAGATGGAAGGGAGAGAGGTTTGGTACGTTTAACTCGTGTTGGAAACCCGGGTTTATTTGTTTGCAGCTCTCTCTCCCTCTCCCTCTGTGATAGACTAAGATCCGCGGTTTGTGCAGGGATGCCCCGCCGATAAGGTGATGTTGCGCAATGGCCGGGAGAGGGGTGTCCTGGAACCCTAACCCTACCTCTGGGGGGATGTCTGATGCCCACGAGAACATTTCGACAAGCAGTCAATAGGTAAATTACCATAGCAGCTGGTAGCACGGAATCCTCGCTATCCCAGCCACTTGGAGTCCTTCCGCCAGCGGGCTTTTTTTCTAAAATCTGAACCTAAGAATTTTGACCCAAAATTGGGTTCCCATCAGTGTTCGAATAATACGGTACGTTGCGGTATCGTGCACAACTGACTCTTCACCGTAAATTACAGTTGTGGGACACAATATCGGCGAATGCCATTTTACCCTCCTGAGTTGCAAGGCCGAGCTCGCTGTGAAATCCGTGAGTAGACCGTGCTTGACCCCGATGCCTCTCCTGACCCAGTCCCCTTATCCTCCCCCCTCGATCTTTTAGTTTACCTTCCGAATTCTTCTACACATACTTTTGATAGCTATCAATGGCGCGGCCGATGGCGTCTAGTGAATTTAGGGTGAGTTACCGTCGGCATTTTGTCGTAGGCTATACAGACATGACTTGCGAACCCTAATTTTGACGAGTGATAACCTATGAGTTAACTCTGAATCACGTTTACCCAGATTTAAGGGGGGCCCGGCTTGTGGGCGATAGAATTTGAGCACAAAAGCCCCTACAGACCTGTGGGCAAGGCACTGTATGGTCACCTACACTGGTGTACTGAGAGTATTGTACCCGACATTTTTTAACGTCTCCGGAACATGATGGTTCCCGCGAAGTCCGGTGCAGAGAATCCATCGCTTATGATATCGCAAGTGAATCGCTTATTTCCCCCCCTGGAGATTTCCAAAAATCGTTGGGTATGCTATCGCATTCTAAGCCTCATTTGAACGCATATAGCTAGGGCACAAAGACTACGTGGAGAGGGTGAGCCGGTGCTGGAAAGAGCCTTCTCTATCAAGTGGTTGTCTAAGATTATTCTACAAAAGAAAGAAGATAATAAAAGCCCAATCCAAACCGCCACCCCGCTTGGCTTGTGAACCATATAAAACAGGAAAGAAAGGAAGCCAATCTCCGGAAGAGTTGAACGAGCATGCACTTCACGTGTGCATCCAACAAAACAGAAGCAGTCCTACGATCGCGAAGGAAATGTGAGGAAAAAAATCAGAGACCCAACACCACTAACATCGCCAAGGGGAGTAACTCAAAGAGCGCTTTGCTGCAGCCAAAGGCTTACGTCTGCTAACACCATCGCTTCCGAACCCCCCCACTCCTGGCCACCTGCCTTTGCCTTCCCTAGAGCCCCAGCAGCTGTGCAGTCTTCTTAACCATGAGGTCCTCGTCAGGGAAAGATAATTGCTCTATGGTATGTTAGTAAGAGCACTCGGAACAATCGAACATGAGGAACTAACCGAGGCCAATTGCGTATGGCGTTGGGACCTCCGCGCCGGTGATTCTTTGGGCCGGGGCGTCCAAGAAATCAAACATGTATTCCATGCTCAGAGCAAGGATCTCACTGGCAACCCCGAAGCTGGGGAAGCCGCTCTCAATGGCGATCAGGTGATTGGTTTTCTTGACAGATTTCACGATGGTCTCAACATCAAGAGGCTTAACGGAACGGAGGTTAATAACTTCCGTCTCGACTCCATATTTCTTCTTTAGAGTCGCCGCCGCGGTGAGAGCTTGTCCAACGCAGCGGGAGAGCGCCACAAGAGTAACATCTTTTCCAACTCGCTCGATCTTAGCGCTTCCGATCTGTGAACGAAGTAAAAAGGTTAGCGCCAGAGTCTCCTAGCTAAGGAGATCCAATTGGAACTAACAGGTAGGACAAAGTCAGACTTCTGAGCCTCCTCTGACATAGGAAACGCCTGTCCGTAAAGCAACCTAAAAACAAACTTAGTATTTTTCTCTATCCTGAAGATGAAATACTTAAAGGGACCCACTCATTCTCAAGAACCTGCAATACCGTCCGGTTAGCACACCGCCCACCAAAGGTAAGGAAGGAGTAGGACTATACCACTACTGGGTTGGGATCTCTGATAGCAGCTTTCAACAGACCCTTAGCATCTTCCGCACTCCAGGGCGTAACTACTTTCAATCCCGGGATGCTGCCATACCAGGCAGAGTAATCCTATACCTGCGTCAATTCCCCGGCCGTGTCTGGGGTAGAGGTAGAGATTGTTGGATCGCTTACCTGAGAATGTTGAGCCGCCACACCAGAAGCAAATCCATTGGGTCCACGGAAAGTAATGCTGCAAGGCTGGATGCCTCCACTCATATAATGTGTCTTAGCTCCAGAGTTAATAATCTGGTCAATTGCTTGCATCTGGTCTTGGTCAGCTTCGGAGCATCATCAAATTGTACGATAGGCATACAGCAAAGTTCCAAGTCATGAATTCAACCACAGGGCTGAGGCCAGCGAGAGCGGCACCAACACCGAGACCAGCGAAACCGTGCTCCGTAATTCTTTAGGTAAGGTTAGCATATCCTCTCATAAACTCACGCCAGAAAACTTACGGCGAATCGATAACTCTCTTTTCGCCAAAACGATCCAACAATCCCTTGGTGACTTTGTAAGCCCCATTGTACTGGGCCACTTCTTCGCCCATAATAAGTACTTTCTCGTCCCTCTCCAATTCCTCGGCTGGTGGAAGTCGTTAGTGGGGGCAACCCCAACACAACACAATTCAACAATTTCGAGGAGCAACATACCAAGCGCCTCGTTCAGAGCCTCCCTTACCGTATAATCTCTCGTACCGCCAGTGGAATAATTTTTTTGCTCTGCCTTCAAAGCTTGAAAAGCAGTTACTCGGTGTATGTTGACAAGGGGCTTTCTGAGAGCATTTCCGGCAGCGCGGGAAAGGAAATTCCTAGCTACAAACATGCTGGTGATAATGTTTTAGGTAGCGGTAAACAGATGCCGGGTATCAAGTCGGAGGAGGGAGATGGTGGAAGAGGAGGAGGAGGAGAGATTGCTGAGAGAGCAAGTTGTCGGTGTTCATCCGGCACCCAACCCAAGAAAAGTTGGGACCAGGTTCCCCGAGAGCTGAATCAGCACATCACGTGGTATTAGCTTGAAGCTGCCCAAGCACGTGCCAACCCAGTCCTGGGACTCAGTAAACGCAAGAGCAGGGTAAACGTTTAGACCTTGTAAGACTCTTACCGATACCGCCGCAAATGAAATAATTCAAATTCAGGCGTTTCTTTGGTTATGGCTCAACTTACGGGCTTCATACTAGATTTTTGCTTTCATCGCAGCAGCTGATATGTGGTTGCGAGTGATTTTTTTGTGCGCTTTGGCCAACGGGATTCGAGCTTTAGAAAAAAATGTCGATTTTTTGTTCACATTCCGGCAAGCCAAAGAGGGGTTTGAGTGTAAAATCCCACTATTTATCTATAATATCCGACGGCCTTCAAAATGGCAATATAAAAAATTAGCAGAAAAACCACCCCAACCATAACCAACAAAAAATATATGATTAAAAATTATATAATAATACTCTTTTTTTTAAACTAAAATATAAGGTAGATTAAAGAAATTAATTAATATTTATGTTAAAAAAATGCTTACTCTTTAATACTAAATACTTAAATATTAAATTATAGTTATATATTACCAATACTATCTTCCTCTTACAACTTCCTACCAGTTCATATAATCTTTATTACTGTAATATATTGAAAATATTTAAGCAAATTGTTTAAAGAATAAATTAATACTACTAGTAAGTATAGTTTTTAAAACTACCTTGAGTATTAGGAATACGGGGATCCAATACCTAGGAACCACCCTAAGTAGGGTAACCCTACTTGGAATTAGAATCCCTGGTCTCCTACACCTCTCTCAAGCCTCCTTATGAGGCCTGCACATTACCATGAATATCAAACTTAGTTGCGTCCTATGACTATAATGGCACAGAATTGAAGGTATAAGCATAATACTGTATATGTCACCACTATCTGACTGACCAGATCCTGTGTACAGAATGTGTCCGAGGGGACCTTCGGTTAGGTCTGGGAAGTGGAACAGAGTAAATCCGCCAACTACTCAGGAAGTCACTAGGCTTCATAAATGTGATATCTTTGTCATAAGCTGTAAATAACAGGACGTTTTTGTACAAAGAGATGGGATTGAATAATAAAGGATCTCAACAAGAGGCTATTATATTCACACCTACCCTATAATAACCAGAAGAGTCTAGAACTTGGAAGGATACTACCACAGAAGCTAATGGACTTCACGGAGTATTACAACTGGGTCTCAGAACACATTGTGGTTGTGAGAATGATTGTCACGAAGGTGGCTTGGCGAGGAAAAGGTTTTCATGTGACACATGATTATGAATCACAGGTATGTTATTGTTTCACACATATGACTCATTTGAGTTATATGATTTGTGATGCTTTCGCACATGACTCAAATATGAGTTATGGGACGTACACCTGATGAGTATGCCTTGCAGGTATACCTTGCGCATATGATTTATGTTTCGCACATGACCTCATTATGAGGTCATGGGTTTTATGCATATGACTCAGTCGAGTCATATGACTTGTTTATTGTGTTAGGATTGGTTTATGAGTTTTCACACATGACCTCGCTATGAGGTCATGGGTTTTAAGTATGTGACCACTTTGGTCACATGACTAGTTTGTTATGATTTGGTTTTGCACATGTGACCACTTTGGATCACATGGCTATGAGCGGGAAGAATACTATATAAGGAGGCCGATGCGGCTGAGGAGGATAGGTTGTTCACGCTTTGTTCTAAGTACTTGTCCTTCTTCTTTCACCCCGTGTCGGACATGAATGTTCGGTGTCGATTCAATCAGAGCCCTTGATTTCTAACTCACGATAGGCTTCAAGTCTTTAACTTCAAACACCTTTTGAGGGCTTCATCATTATACCTCCTCCTACATTTGCTAGAAGTCCTTTCTTCCTTCTACTTATCCTTTTGGTTGTTCACTATGGTCGTCTCTTCACGGTCGCAATGGCTAAGCGAGCCTCCACCCCCTCTGCTACGTCCGCTTTACATTCGTCAGTGGTTCTGTCTCGTGCCGTTGAGAAGAACTTCGCCCTAGAGGCTGAAGTCTCTCACCTTCGGCATCACATCTCTGTCCTTTCTCGGTGATTTCATCGTGCTGAGAAAGAGATATCTACTCTGTCGGCTACTCTGGCCTTTGAATGCGATACAGTTCGCGGTTTGGTCACGATTCTGATGGCTAAAGTTCCTACGGTTATTCCCTCTTCGCCTGTCTCCTCGGTCGCTTCGGTTACTACGGTGGTCTTGGTTGAGGGTGATGGGCTAGACCCTGAGTATTCTCAGGGTCCAGCAGAGGAGCTCCTTCAGAGGGATGTTGCGCTGCCGGTTATCCCAGCCTCTTCTGCAGCTTTGGTTGCGGATGGTAGTGTGGGTGGATCTGGTCCTGATTCGTCAGGTCCGGTTGAGGCGCTTACTCCTGGTATGAGTAGGGTAGATCCTGGTGTGGTGGCATCAGCTATAGTGGTATCACCCCCTTCAGGGGGTAGGTGCCTGAGTCCTCTGTGGCTGGTTGAGATAACGCCTCTGGTGGCTTCCCCCCTGTGGTGGTGAGTAGTGATGAGGGTGGCCCGTCCACTCCTGTTGCTAGGCCTGCGCCTGGGGGTGGGAAGAGAAAGAGAAACAAGAAGCGCCGGGTCAAACAACACCAGACCTCACCTGTGTTACTTATCCCCGACTCGGAAGGATCATCGCCTTCGTCGGTGTGCTACCGCAAACCGGCTACTGCAGAGTCTACGGCGGGTTTGCTGCCTGCAGAGCGAGCTGAGGAGTTAGAGGAGGAGTTGAATACCTGGGCATGTTCGGTCAAGTGCCGGCGGCTAGGAGACTATATCATCCTGGCTGCTTCCATCTATATTTTTGGGCTGCGCTGCCAGTGTGGTGCCCCCCTGATTCTCTATGACGGTTCGTACCCCCTTGGCTAGGGAGCTCTCACCCTGTAAGTCGGCTTTTCCTAGGGTCTACGCGCTTGGGTATTGGGTGTTTCTTTTGTTTGGAAATGGGGATGGGTGCTAGAGCGGTTGGCGGGTTGTCCTGGGATCATTGAGTGGGGGCACTCGGGTGGGGTTCTACTATGGAGGGGGATATTGCGAGGTCACATTCAGGTGGCGGTAGTGGTTTTTTTGTATTTTGTATGGGTAACTTGGCTGGTGGGTAGGCTGGGCTGAGGAGGATTTTCTTTACTGTTGATGGCTTTGTATTTAGTGTTCGTGTTGGGGCATGGCGCAGGCATGTTTAAGGTACGGGGTTGGAGGTTTAGTTAGTTCGTAGTTAGTGGTATCCAGGATGCGACAATCTGGGGGCCGAGCCCTGGGGCTCGTCGTATGCCAGTGTTGGCGGTACAAGTTTAAATAAAATTAGATTGAATTCTAAGTACTTTTCCTCCTTCTCTCACCCCGTGTCGGACATGAAGGTTCAGTGTCGATCCAATCAGAGCCCTTGATTTCTAACTCACGATAGGCTTCAAGTCTTTAACTTCAAACACCTTTCGGGGACTTCATTTTTATACCTCCTCCTACGTTTGCTGGAAGTCCTTTCTTCCTTCTACTTATCCTTTCAGTAGTTCACTACGATCGCCTCCTCATGGTCGCAATAGCTAAGCGAGCCTCCGCCCCCTTTGCCGTGTCCACTCTACGTTCGTTGGTGGTTCTGTCTCGTGCCGTCGAGAAGAACTTCACCCTAGAGGCCAAAGTCTCTAGCTTTTGGCATCACATCTCGGTCCTTTTTTGGCGATTTCATCGTGCCGAGAAAGAGATATCTACCTTATCAGCTGCCCTAGCCTTGGAACGTGATACAGTTCGCGGTTTGGTCATGATTCTGGCGGCTGAAGCTCCTACGGTTATTTTCTCTTCACCTATCCCCTCGGTCGCTTCGGTTACTACGGTGGTCTCAGTTGAGGGGAGTGGGCTAGACCCTGAGAGCTCTTAGGGTCAAGCGGAGGAGCTTCCTCGCGGGAATATTGCACCACCGGTTATCCTGGTCCCTCCTGCAGCTTCGGTAGTGGATAGTGGTATGGGTAGACTGGTTCCTGATTTGTCGGTTCCGGTTGAGGTGCTGGCTCCTAGTGTGGGTAAGGTAGATCCTGGTATGATAGCACCAGTTGCGGTGGTATCACCCCCTTCGGAGGGGAAGGTACCAGAGTCCTCTGTGGCTAAGCCTGTAACTGGTCAGAATAACCCCTTTAGTAGCGTCCTCCCTGTAGTGATAGGTGGTGATGAGGGTGACCCGTCTACTCCCATTGCTAGACCTGTGCCTGGGGTGGGAAGAGAAAGAGAAACAAGAAGCGCCGGGCCAAACAACACCAGACCTGGCCTGAGCCGCTTGTCTCTGACTCAGAAGGGTTATCGCCTTCACTGGTACACTACCGCAAACTGGCCACTGCAGAGTCCACAGTGGGTTCACTGCCTGCAGAGCGAGCTGAGAAGTTGGAGGAGGAGTTGAATACCAGGGCATGTTCGGTCAAGTGCTAGTGGCTTGGGGACTATATCGTCCTGGCTGCTTCCATCGAAGTTTTTAGGCTGCACTGTGGGTGTGGTGCCCTCCTGATTCTCTATGACGGTTCATACCCCCTTGGCTAGGGAGCCCTCACCCTATAACTCAACTTTCTCTCGGGGCTACGTGCTTAGGTATTGGGTGTTTCTTTTGTTTGGGAATGGGAATGGGTGTCGGAGCGGTCAGCTGGGTGTACCAGGATCATTGAGTGGGGGCACTTGGGCAGGTTTCTACTGTGGAGAAGGATATCACAGGGTTACATTTAGGTGACAGTAGTGGATTTTTGTATTTTGTACGGGTAACTTGGCTGGTGGGTAGGCTGGGCTGAGGAGTATTTTTCTTTACTGTTGATGGCTTTGTATTTAGTGTTCATGTTGGGGCATGGCACGGGCATGTTGGAGG